AATCCAGTTTCATTTTTTTTACATGTAGGTTTCCAGTTTTGCCAACACCAGTTGTTGAAGAGGCTGTCATTTCCCTGTTGTATCTCCATGACTCCTTCATTGTATATTAATTGGCCATATATGTGTGGGTTTATATCTGGGCTCTCTATTCTGTTCCATTGATCTGTGGGTCTGTTCTTGTACCAGTACCAAATTGTTTTGATTACTGTGGCTTTGTAGTAGAGCTTGAAGTTGGGGAGCACAATCCCCCCCCATTTTATTTTTCCTTCTCAGGATTGCTTTGGCTATTCGGGGTCTTTTGTAGTTCCATATGAATTTTAGAACTATTTGTTCTAGCTCATTCAAGAATGCTGTTGGTATTTTGATAAGGATTGCATTGAATCTGTAGATTGCTTTAGGCAGGATGGCTATTTTGACAATATTAATTCTTCCTATCCATGTGCATGGGATGTATTTCAGTTTTTTGGTGTCATCTTTAATTTCTCTGATGAGTGTCTTGTAGTTTTCAGGCTATAGGTCTTTTACCTCCCTGGTTAGGTTTATTCCTAGGCATTTTATTCTTTTTGATGCAATTGTAAATGGAATTTTTTTCCTGATTTCTCTTTCTGCTAGTTCATCATTAGTATATAGGAATGCAACAGATTTCTGTGTATTAATTTCATATCCTGCAACTTTGCTGAATTCAGTTATTAGTTCTAGTAGTCTTGGAGTGGATTCTTTAGGGTTCTTTATGTACAATGTCATGTCATCTGCAAATAGTGACAGTTTAACTACTTCCTTACCAATCTGGATGCCTTTTATTTCTTTGTATTGTCTGATTGCCATGGCTAGGACCTCCAGTACTCTGTTGAATAAAAGTGGGGAGACTGGGCATCTTGTCTTTTTCCTGATCTTAAAGGAAAAGCTTTCAGCTGTTAAGTATGATGTTGGCTGTGGGTTTGTCGCTTATGGCCTTCATTATGTTGAGGTACTTGCCCTCTATACCCATTTTGTTGAGAGTTTTTATCATGAATGGATGTTAAATTTTGTCAGATGCTTTTTCAGCATCTATTGAGATGATCATGTGATTTTGTCCTTCTTTTTGTTGATGTGATGCATGATGTTGATGGATTTTTGAATATTGTGCTATCCTTGCATCCCTGGAATAAATCCTACTTGATCATGATGGATGATCTTTTTGATGTATTTTTGAATTTGGTTTGCTAATATTTGTTAGCAAATATTTGTTGAGGAGTTTTGCATATATGTTAATCAGGGATATTGGTCTGTAATTTTCTTTTTTTGTGGTGGTCTGCTTTTGGTATTAGAGTGATGCTGGCTTCATAGAATGAGTTTGGAAGTATTCCCTCCTTTTCTACTTTTTGGAAACTTTAAGGAGGATGGATATTAGGTCTTCACTAAATGTTTGATAAAATTCAGTGGTGACTCTATCTGGTCCAGGGATTTTATTCTTAGGTAGTTTTTTGATTACCAAATCAATTTCATTGCTGGTAATTGGTTTGTTCATATTTTGTGTTTCTTCCTGGGTCAGTCTTGGAAGGTTGTATTTTCCAGAAAGTTATCCATTTCTTCTAGTTCATCCAATTTGTTAGCATATGATTTTTCATAATATTCTCTAATAATTCTTTGTATTTCTGTGGTGTCTGTAGTGATTTTTCCTTTCTCATTTTTGATTCTGTTTATGTGTGTAGTCTCTCTTTTTTCTTGATAAGTCAGGCTAGGGGGTAATCTATTTTGTTTATTTTCTCAAAGAACCAGCTTCTGCTTTCATTGATTCTTTCTCTTGTTTTATTCTTCTCAATTTTATTTATTTCTGCTCTAATCTTTATTATGTCCCTACTTCTACTGACTTTGGGCCTCATTTGTTCTTCTTTTTCTAGTTTCATTAATTGTGAGTTTAGACTATTCATTTGGGATTGTTCTTCTTTCTTGAAGTAAACCTGTATTGCAATATACTTCCCTCTTAGAATGGCCTTTGCTATGTCTCATAGGTTTTTTGGGGTGTTGAGTGGTTGTTTTCATTTGTCTCCATATGTTGCTTGATCTCCTTTTTATTTGCTCATTGATCCATTGATTATTTGGGAGTATGTTGTTAAGCCTCTATGTGTTTATGGGCTTTTTTGTTTTCTTTATGTAATTAATTTCTAGTTTCATACTTTTGTCATCTGAAAATTTGATTGGTACAATTTCAATCCTTCTGAATGTACTGAGGCTATTTTGATGGCCTAGTATGTGATCTATTCTTGAAAATGTTCCATGTGCACTTGAGAAAAATGTATATCCTGCTGCTTTAGGTAGAGAGTTCTGTAGATGTCTGTTAGGTCCATCTGTTCTAATGTGTTGATTGGTGCATCTGTCTCCTTACTTATTTTCTGTCTGGTTGATCTGTCCTTTTGTGAGTGGTGTGTTGAAGTCTTCTACAATGAATTCTTTGCGTTCTATTTTGCCCTTTTATTCTGTTAGTATTTGTTTCACATATGTAGGGTGCATAGATATTTATAATGGTTGTATCCTTTTGTTATACTGACCCCTTTATCATTGTGTAATGTCCTTCTTTGTCTCTTCTTACTTTCTTTGTTTTGAAGTCTACTTTGTCTGATACAAGTACTGTAACTCATTCTTTTTTCTTCATACTATTTTCATGAAATATTTTTTTCTGTACCTTCACTTCCAGTCTGTGTTATGTCTTTAGATTTGAAGTGAGTCTCTTGTAGGCAGCATATAGATAGGTCTTGTTTTTTTTTATCCATTTTATAACTCTGTATCTTTTGATTGATGCATTCAGTCCATTTACATTTAGGGTGATTACTGATAGATATGTACTGATTGCCATTGCCAGCTTTAGATTTGTGGTTACCAAACGTTCAAGGTCAGCTTCTTTACTATCTAACAATCTAATTTAACTCACTTATTATGCTATTTCAAACACAATCTAAAGATTTTTTTTAAATTCCTTCTTTTTCTTCCTCCTCCACTCTTTATATATTAGGTATCATATTCTGTACTCTTTGTGTATTCCTTGACTGACTTTGTGGGTAGTTGATTTAATTTTGCATTTGTTTAGTAATTAATTGGTCTACTTTCTTTACTGTGGTTTTATTTTCTCTGGTGACAGCTATTTAGCCTTAGGAGCACTTCCATCGACAGCAGTCCCTTTAAAATCACTATAGAGATGATTTGTGGGAGGTAAATCCCCTCAACTTTTACTTATCTGGAAATTGTTTAATCCCTGCTTTAAATTTAAATGATAATCTTGCTGGGTAGAGTATTGTTGGTTGGAGGCCCTTCTGTTTCACTGCATTAAATATATTCATGCCACTCCCTTCTGGCCTGTAAGGTTTGTGCTGAGAAGTCTGATGATAGCCTGATGGCTTTTCCTTTGTATGTAATCTTCTTTCTCTTTCTGGCTCCTTTTAATACTCTGTCCTTATCCTGATCTTTGCCACTTTAATTATTATATGTCTTGGTGTTGTCTTCCTTGGGTCCCTTGTGTTGGGATATTTGTGCACTTCCACGGGTGAGAGACTTTCCTTCCCCAGATTGGGGGAGTTTTCAGCAATTATTTCCTCAAAGAGACTTTCTATTCCTTTTTCTCTTACTTTTTCTTCTGTTACTTCCTATAATGTGAATATTGTTCCATTTGGAGTTGCACAGTTCTCATTATTCTTTCATTCCTAGAGATACTCTTTTCTCTTTGTGCCTCAGCTTCTCTGTATTCCTGTTCTCCAATTTCCATTTCATTTACCATCTCCTCTGTGTCATCTAATTCCTCCAGTGTATGTTTCATTTCAGATATTGTATTTTTTAAAGTTTCTGTCTGTTTCTTGAAGTCCTCCCTGAGATCTTGAATATTTTTCTGTAGCTCCATGAGCATGCTTATGGTTTTTATTTTGAAATTGTTATCAAGAAGATTGGTGATTTCAGTTTCAATTAGCCCTCTTTGTGGTGTTTGAGGGAATTTTGGTTTGTCATTTCATATTTCTAATGATTACTATGGCATAATAACTTTGTGTAGGCAGTACCCTCTAGTGCCCAGAAGTTCTACTCTCTGGAGCTGCTCAGCACCTGGAGTGATGGCAGGGGTCACAGGCAAGTGGCACCGGTGCCTGCTGGGAGGAAAGAACTCTTTCCTGTTTCCCTGCTGCAGTGTCTGCCTCCACTTCCAGGGCCACTGGGCTAAGTGTGCAGGTAGGAGCCTCTGCTTTAGGCTCTTGTAGCTGCTATAGGTGGGGCTGCCCTCCAGCTGGCCTTGAGCAATGGCAGGGGCAGCAGGTCTGCAAACTGGTGTGGGCCAGGAAGAAGGAATGGCAGGCTGCATATTGCAGTAGGGAGCCTTGGCACTGTGTTGCCAGCCGGGGGAATGGAGCCCCTGAAGGTCCTGAAAGTTCCCAATCAGCTGGGCTGGGTGTGCCATGATGATTTTGTCCACCTGTCCTTTCTCCTGAGCAGCAAGCTCTGTGTAATCCTTGCCATTTAGCAGCCCTCTCACTGTTGGGAAGTCTTTCAAAGTGCCCACCTTTGTGTGGTCCCAGAGCAGCTGATTGTGGGTACCTCTACTCCACAAGTGGCTGGAATCTCAGTCTCTCTGAGTATGCTACCTGTCTTTGCTTTCCAACACCACTAATCTGCAGAGCACCATATAATGTGGGTTTGTGCTCCCGGAGGAAATCTTCAGGGGTGGGTATTTAGCAGTCCTGGGCTTCTACTCCCTCCTCACTCCATTTCTCTTCCTCCCACCAGTGAGCTGGGGTGAGGGAGAAGATTTGGGTCCTGCTGGATTGGGGCTTTGTTACTTTACCCTTTTCCATGAGGTCTTCTCTTTTCCCTAGATGTAGGCTGTCTGTTGCAGTCTTCTTTCCGGTCTCTCTTTCAAGATTAGTTGTATTTGCTGTATTTTTGTGTTATATGTGGTGTTGGGAGGAGGTTTCTGTCTCACTTCTCGCACTGCAATCTTTTTCCACCTCTCCAGACTCACTTTTTTTCTGCTCTCTTTAACCCAGCCTGCATGATGTACTTAATGCTCTGAGATTAAAGTATAACAAGCAGATAAAGCAGTTTCAGGAGGACAACCTGTCACTAACCTCAGACTACAAACGCCTTGTGATACAATTCAAGGAGCTACAGAAATCCATGAGGTACTTACAGCCATGGGTCCCAAGGCACATGCTCTAGAATAGAGGTGGGGGGTCGTGGAGTTGGTGGTGGCAGTGGTTTCACTGATATTGTCAGCTTCTTTTAAGCTGGGCTGGGGCACCAAAGACTTGTGCTATCTTCCTTGTCCCTTTACTTGCATGTCACCTGCCTTTTCTTGAGACCTGTTGGGATGGCTTCCAGTCTTTCATAGGTAAGAGCTAGCAGCCCAGGATTACCACAGCCACTTAGTCCTTGCCCTGCTGCTAATTGAGGGGACCCTGACCAGCTCCTGGCCTCTGTTGGCCATGCTCAGTGACTCTCCTTCACAGGCATTTCGCTCTTATTGATGACAAGCAGTTTCAGGAGATTTGGCTGATGAATGAAGAGGAGGCAAAGGATCTGATAGGCAGAGCCTTTGATGTAGACAAGATCATCTATACCCAGCATCTGGGGCTCCCCTGGACAGTACCTGATTTCTGGTTTCTGAAGAATGTGGGGCCTGTGTCTCAGAAGCAGCAGAAGTCTGCCACCCAAATATTAGAAGAAGTGCTGCTGCAAACAGGTGACTAGAACAGAGCCATTGTGTCTTAGAGCTCTGAGCACATCAGGCTAACCCATTCATTTTACAGGTAAGGAAACTGAAGCCCAGCGGAGAGGGAAGAAGTCTCGTAGCTGTAAGGGGTTCACTGAGTATGGCTGGTTGACATGGATTGTAGACTGGTAGTTAATCTAGAAGTCTGATCAGACTTAGTTTCAATTCAATTTTACTAAGTATGCTTTTGTGTCCCTCCACTAGGATAAACTGTCAGGTTGTCCCTCTTTCTGTGGTGCTAGCAGCCATTGATAGTCATTGTCTCAGATCCATTGATTGCCTTGGGGATTACAGAATGGTGATATTCTAAATTCTACCATTATGTCTTCATTTATTAGTTGTAACACTTCTGAAAAGAGCCTCTTCCTCTCATCAGCTGTTTGATACAGTTTATACAGGAAAAGCAGGGTAGATGCTTATTATTTCCCTATTTACCAGCTTTCAGAATACATGGGTTGGTTCTCTAGCATCTTCCAAAGGTGATCAGTGATGTTTCATAAACAAGTATCATTATGAACACATGGATTTAAGCAAATTTGATATGTTTTGATTAACTGTAGTTTTTCTTACTGCTGCTCAAATTATCCCTGTTTGGCCAGCGGGCGTCTCTTCATCTTGGCTTCTGGGTCATGTTGACACAGCCTCAGTAGTCGTTGATAGCTTCCTGGCTTTTCAGAGAGACCAGATGTTCTAGGCTTACATTATACATTTCCTGCTTCAAGTCTGCAGTCAGCTATTTCTCCAAGGAGATTTGATCCTTTTAAGCAGGGAATGGTATTTTGAAACCATAGTCTGGGTGCTGGAGTACTCATTGTTTTGGATTGGTCATTGTTTCTAGGCCTTCTCTGTGGTCAAGCTTAGGGTATAGGATTATTTTTTAAAGATAAAATAAATCATGTGTTTATCTTAATATTTCCTAATCATCAGAACACCAGGATTTTTACTTAACTCTATCAAAATCTATCTTCTTTCTCTTAACTTGAAAATCTTGGTACTCAATGACTCCAAAATAATTACTCATTGCTTTTCCCACAATACCATAGAACAGTCTCAGAGTAAAATATCAACCCTACCACTAACAAATGCTTACTAAAAATAGTTAAAACATTTTCACAGTTCTGTTTGCTCCTAGGATATATTCCATCAGGGATGTACAGACCAGTAGATCACTGGCTTTCGAAGTCATTTGAAACAGTTACTGTGTAGTTATTTAGGTCTTCTGCTTTTGATTGTTAGGGTTTGCTTTTTAACAATTTAATTGTTTTATAATTCATGTAAAATATTTACACATTCCCAAAGTCAAATGTACAAAACAAAGTATACTTAAAGAAGTGTAGATTTTGTCCTCTCCACCCTATTTCATCTCTCTCCTATAGGTACCTATTTAAAAACTTATGATTTATCCTCCCATTACTTTTTAAAATTTTAAGCCAATATGTGTATATATTTATATAAACCCATTTTTTTAGCTAAATGAGAACATATACTTTTATCTGCTTTTTTCACTTACAGTATATCCTGGAGATCAGTCTGTAATAGCAGTAAGAAGAAATGGTCTTCATTTCTTTTTTCTCTGGCTGTGCCAGAATTTCTTCACAGTCCTCTGTTGATGGTCAGTTAGGTTATTTCCAGGTGTGTGTTTGTGTTTTTGCAGTTACAAACATTGCTGCAATGAAAGGCTTTGTGCATTTGTGTTTCCACGTTTTTGCTAGGGAGTTGTTGGGGTAGATCCCTAGGAGTAGGGATGTTGCACCATAGCAAAGGTACCATTTTCCATCTCCACCAGCAATCTGATATCTCATTCTTTTCAAAATCTTTTCCTATATGTTATCTTGTTTTACCTTTTGAACAACTAGTAAAACCTGGAGAGGACCATGATTTTTATTCTTATCTTCTGATGAGGAATGTATAGTATAAAACATTTTACAATTTTAATTAAGATTAAATTTAAACAGCTTAAAATTTAACTTTGAAATCAGCCATCAGCCATCAGTTCTTGCTGAGCCACTTTCCACCTCTTAGTTGGCTGCTTCTAATCTGCAGCAGATTTAAAGACCATGTGGCAGATGTGCTAGATTCATCTCTAAAAGAAGAATAAATAGGTTCACATTCTCCTGCCCACCTCCTGGTCACAGCTGAACTTTGAGTATGATGTTTCCAAGTAGATGGAATTTGTAAAAGTGAGGCATTAAAGGCTGGTCAAGAATGGCAGAATTCTCCAGATGGTCCCTTGTTCTGACCCCCAGCCTCCCTGTTTTTCCAATGTAATGGGCTTTCTTCAGCTAAACAGACTTGATAGTGCTGTAAGGAGGCTTTTTAAGAGGTAAATTTTCTCAGGGAAAGCCATTTGACTGTTTTTCCAAGTCAACAAGGTCAAGAGATGATCTCCTTTTTCTGTTCCTCTCTGTCTTACCTCCTTGCCCCATCTGCGGAAGAGGAGGGCATGGAAGAGACTGCTTCAGAAGCAGAGGCTTACCTGGAGCTGCCCAAGCAAGTGTCCGCGAAAACAACCGGAAAGATCCTGAGGCTCCTGTGCAACGAGTCGGTGAGGCCAGGCTGGGACTGTGGCAGAGTATGATGGGTGGCTTTGCCAACTTTCTGCCCTTACCTCTTGGTGCTGCTTCCGACGACTCTGGCTGGGCCACGGCCCTGAGGACTAGAGCTGAGGGACACCCCCAGACTTTGCAGGGCACTCACAGATGGGCTGTGTCTCAGAGCTGACTGAGCCGGCAGATGGATGGGTCAGCAAGGCGTGGTCCAGGCTGGCCAACAGTCCTTGGCTAATTTGAACAAATGCTCATTTTGTGAGAGAAGGGGCACCAGTCTCACCTCTGTGAACCCACCTGCTAAGAAGTGTGGCCTCAACTGATGTGGCCTTTTTCCAGGAGCCCAGTTTGTGATAACTGTGGGGTCCTCGGCTTTGGAGGTCTGCACTGTGTTACAAGACCCACTGAACTTGCTCTAAAGACTGTGTTGGAGCTGGTTCAGCGAGAAGTCGGAGCGTCACCAAATGTGACTGGTGTTTATTTAGATACAGTCCTGAGATGGGAGAAAGAGGTGGAGCAAGGACCGGCAGCCTTTAGTCCTCCTCAAGACAGTGTTCTGTGGATATTGGGGGACTTGTGTATGAGAGAAGTGACATTGGGTGGGTGGGAATCTGTGACTGGGTCAGGTCTGGACTGCTGTGGGGAGCTCAGTGGCTATGAGTCAGTGAGTTAGCCCCTGAGGTGGGGGGAACTAAATCTAGGATGGGCATTGGCTTCCTCCCTGGGAATGGCTCTTAGGCCTCCTAAGAAGGCCTGCCTCTGGGAGCCCCACTGCCCAGTGTCATCCCTGGGCATTTTGCCTGCGGAGTCATTCCTGGTTAGGTACATGAGGGAGGCTGCATCCTAGTGCTTGTTCCTGAAGCCTGTTTCTGACTGCAGATGTCATCTTGCTGCTTCTCAGGGTTTCCTCATAGAGAACAAGCTGCTGAGCCTTCTCCTTCCTCTGGAGAAGAATGAATGCTATCTACTGAGGTTGGACGCCATCTTCTCAGTGAGTCTCACTGGGCTGAGTGGGCAGGGCATGGGGTCCTCATTCTAAGACAGCCACCTATGTTCTTCTAACGTCGCCTTGGTCTTGGTAGTAGACGCATGTCTCCCAGGGCTTTCCTGGGCTCACTCTCAATCCTTCCTTCTACTTACTCTCCATGCAACAAAATGGCCTCAGAATTGTTCAGATGTCTTCCATCCCTGACCCTTCCTCTACTAGCTTCTTTCTCATGGCCCAGCTCCAAGATCATAGGTTCTCCCCTACACCTCTAAACTCAGATGTGTGTCCAGCACCCTTTCGTGTTCTCACCCCACCAGACCCATATGGAGCTGTTTCTGACTCTGAGCATAGTGTCTCTGTCCCGGCGTGTGTCCCCAGTCTCACTGTGCTTTTCCAGTGTTCAGGGTCCTCACTCTGGGCCGTGGCAGGTGCCTGGGATCTTGAAGGGCACGAGCCAAACTCCCTGCTCTTAGGTCCAAAGAAGGCTTTCCTGCTGACGGTCTGCTAACTCCTGGAGCTGGGGACTACTTGATGTAGTGTTTGAACACCACATTCTATTTTTATCTTAAGGCCCTTGGAATTGAAAGTGAGGATGACTTGTATAAACTGGTGAACTTCTTCCTCAAATACAGAGCTCATCATTCATCCTTCCGCCAGGTAAGGTGAATGCCTAAGAGGGAGCATTTGAAATTCTCCTGAAAGCCCCCGGAGGACATTGCGGCCTTTGAATAATACTTCAGGATGAAATAGTGAGGGTTTTATATCAGGGACAACTAACTCAGCATTTCCCTTATCATTATTATATTTTCTGTTTGCAGTGGGAAGAATGGGTGGGATGACACGCTGTTCTCATACTGAGGCCCAACGGGTCTTCTCCTTCAAGACAAGCCTTGGCTACTCTAAGGCCTGAGACCACTAACTTCTGAATATATTGTTCTGTAACACTTTCCTGCAGAATAGGGCCCATTTGTAATGCCCATCTTGATTGTAATTGACTCTTCTGAAGAAGTCGTCATGTTAAAAATATAAATTTTTAACTTAAAGATTAAAAAATTAATTCAAAATATGTTTTTAGTATTGTTAGCCCTATGGTGGGTATCCTGATATGCTTCCAAAAAGAATTGGCTGAGTGGACAAAACCCAGAAGCCATAAAGGAAAAAGAGGATATATTTGACTACATTAAAAAAATATTCTGTAGGGCAAAAATCATTATAAGCAATGTTAAGATACAGATAACAGCTGGGGGAAAATATTCTTAACTCATATCACAGTTAAGGGTTAATTTCCTTAATATATAAAGACCTCCCATAAACCAATAAGAAAAAAGACCAACACCTCAATGGAACAGAGAAGGGATATGAACAAACACCTCCTAGAAGAGGTAGTAACTCTTAAACATATGAAAAGATAATCAGGCTTTCTTGTAATAAGAGCAATGCAAATTAAAATTGTCCAAATTCAATTTCACCTGTCAGTTTGGCAAAAATATGCATGTTTGATAACACATAATAAGGATTGGTATGGATTGCACTCTGTAAGTTGCTGGTGTGAGTGTAAATTGTTGTGGAGGGCAGTTTGGCAGTGTCAATTTCAACACCATATACAAAATTACTTTACCCTGCAATTCTTCTTCTAAGATTTTTATTCTATAGCTATGTCTCAGTACATTTGAAACTATATGTTTATTGTAGCTTATTCATAGCAGCATTGTTTAGAATAACAGAGGATTGGAAACAACCTAAATTTCCATTATTAAAGAATTAAGTAATATATGGTGAAGCTATATAATGGAATACTATGCAACTATAAAAAAGAACAAAGAAGTTCTTTATGTTCCTATGTGAACGGATCTCTGAGGTTTGTTGGCATGTGAAAAAACCAAGTACAGAACTATGTATTTAGTATCATATCATTTATGCAAAAATGGGAAGGAAAAGTGTGTGGACATAATATTTCTTTGGAAGGATACATAAACTGATAACATTGGTTTTTCAGTAGAAGGAAACTGGATAAAATGAGAGACAGGAGTAGGAGGAAGTCTTTTTAAAATTTAAAGATTAAAATAAACTTTAGTTTGTATTAAGATTCAAAAGGATATTTATATCACGTAAGCTTTATGATATCAATAAAATGAATACCCAGCTTAGTAAGAGGACATCATCATTGTTTTCAAGTGCCCTGTGTGCCTCTCCCTGGCCCCAATCCCCTTCTTCCCCCTCTTTGTCCTCACTGTTTCTCCCCTTGGGTAAATGTCTCTCTCTGCATTTTTTCTATAATGTCTGTGATTTCCTGTAGACTTTTCTCTTGTTTTTTTCCTTTTCCTGTTGGTCTTCACAGACTCATGCTTGTGTACCCCCAACCCACAGTTGCCCTTGCACCTTTCTCCAGATCAATCCCTGGAATTTCTTACCCCCTACAGGAGCGAACAAGTCTGATACCAGCCAAGCCAGCAGAGCACAGGGACTTTGAGGGAGAAGCGGAGGAAAGCCTTGTGGAAGGGGAGCAGGAAGGGAAGGAGACCCCCGCTTCTCCCATACTCATCCACCCCAATGATGTCCTCAAGATCCTGGAGGCTTTTGTCATGGCTCTGAAGAAGCCCAGGTGAGCTGGGGTGCTGGAGGTCTTACCTGAGAGCTAGAAAGCTGGATGGGATTGGGGACCAAGCCGTAGCGAGTGCGAGAGAAGAGGCTGTTGAGCAGGAACCTTGGGGGTGAATAAAGGGCCACCCAGAAAGAGGCTAGAGTGGACATCATAATGAAAGAAATGGGTGTACAAGTGCTTTATGTGTTCTCATTCATCATTCATTCACTCAACAAACATTTATTGGGGTCTGCTGTGTGTAGGCCCTGACCTGGTGATCAGAACAATGGTCACGGCCTATACAGTGTCACATTGTTTAGAGGAGGAAGGGGACAACTCTCTTTGGCACATCCGAGAGGGCTTTTGGAGAAAATGGTGCCAGCACTGAGTTTTCCTAGATGGATAAAGTGGGAGAAAGGGCATGTCAGGATGTCACAGTGCAGGGAAAAGCCTGGTGTATACAAGAATCATGACAGAGAAGTGTGGCTAGTGGCAAGGGTCTGGGAAGTGGGATGGGTGGGTGGGGGAGCCAGGCCAGACCTTGGAGAGCCTTGCCCAATGTGCCCAAGATTTTTGTCTTTACCCTCCGGTGGACCAGAGCCAGAGAAGGATATCAAGCAGGGGTGGGAAGCCACGATTATCAGAATTGCACTTAAAAGCTGCTTTGGCGGCAGGGAGCTGGGTACAGGGGAGCTCTGAGAAGGTTTGTCCAGGTGGAGGGGATGATATTCTAGAGGGGATGGAGAGGAGATGACCAAGAGTTGATTTAGGTGTATTAGTGAAAGAAATGGGCATAGTAATGAGCTGTAAAGCCAGTGAGGTAAACTGAGAGAAGGAGGGTGGGTGAGACTCTGAGGGTGCTGTCACAAAGGTGGCCAGGGCACCAAGAATCTGGAGCATGTGCACTTTGAGGCTCTGCCATAGTCTGGTAAGCTTGCATAGCGGAGCGGGAAGTGACAGGTGGAGAAGCAGAGAGTGTGTGAGGCAGCCTGTTCCTGCTGCATGGAGGCCTGGGTGGTGCCAGCCGAGGCAATGGTGCCAGTGCCTTTCCCCATCAGGGACCCTCAGGCACCTGGGAAGTTGCTGAAGGAAGCACGAGATAGCTCCAAGGACTCTGAGTACTGGGAGGCCCTGGCCTCGGTTATCCCCTGCTCCACGCAGGCCCTCTGGGCGGCTCTGTACGCAGCGTTGGAGAAATACCAGTAAGTATGTTGTATGGCCCAGGGGAAGGAGGGAGCCAGCAGCGAAAAGTAGAAGGATCCTGCTTGGCGTGGCCACGTTTGCCACCTCCCTGTCCTGAAGAGAAGAGCTGCCTCTGGCGACTCCTGCTCGGGACGCATGTACTTGGGCGGCTGGCTCTTAGGCCCTGCCCTTCCTGCTCTGTTTCTGCTAGCCTGGCTGGTTCAGGGCTGAAGGTAGCTCTGTGGGGTGAGGCTTCTGGGGCCCTCTTGCACCTCCAACCAGAACAGAAACACAGTGACTGTGGCCCCTGCTTGGTAGAAGATGAGGATTCAGTGGGCCTCTAACTGATTTTTCTGCACCCAGCTTTGTCCTGACCCAGAGGGCCAAGCTGCTGATAGAAAACAGCTCTCTGGCACAGCAGAACACAGAGCTGCAGACGCTGCTGCAACAGTACCTGGGTTCCAAGGTGGGTGACGAAGGCCCTCTGTGGAGGCTGGGGATCTGCTAGGACTGGAGCTGATTTTAGGAAATGTGCAAATGATGCTAGGAAATGTTCCCACCAGAGGCAAGGGAGCTTTGAGATATGACAAAAAGTCAGCAGTCATACCTCAGATTGAGACAATTACCAGGCAGGTGGGTAGATGTTGCCTGAAGCCTACTCCAGGCCATGTGAGTTATAATACTGTCCTTGTGGGGCCCATAGTTTCTGGCACCAGTTGCTTGCTGGGCCCCTCTGGGGGCAGTGCCGAAGCCAGCCATGGGGAGAAGAGGCTCAGATGGGGCAGATGCTCCCTGGCCCCCACTCAGGCCCACTCCAGTGATAGTTGGGGCACCTTCCCATGGCCTCTCACCATCTCTGCTCTAGAGGAAAAGTCCATTTGTGACACAGCTGCTGGCTTGGCTCTGCTGGTGTGGAATCCTTTACATGGCGCCAAGGCCAGGAAGGGTGTGACATGCTGGGCTGAGCATAGGCCCTCCATCACCAGCTGTGTGAGAGGTGACCGAGGCCAGTCACTGAGCCTGCACACTGGGCGCATGTGGCCCCATCATGGTTTCAGGCCCCAGGTTGCGCCTGAATGAAGGACGTGGTGAGCCTTGGTGTCATGATGGCCTCAGCCTGTGACTGGACTCCCACATTAGGGGACTATGTGGGCCATGCTTCCATTGATGCCGCTGTGTATGAGAGGATGGGGTAGGAAGGGGGGCAGCAGGGCTGGACTGGGGACAGGAGGGCAGGTGAAGGGTAGAGGGAGGATTTAGGAGGATGGATCAGAGTGGAAGGTTAAGAACGTTACTTGGGGGTAGCTAGCTGGAGCAGACGCCAACAAGAAGCCCCCAGACTTGTCTTCTGAAGGAATGCGGACTGTGGCCTTGCCCAGGCATCTGGAAGCCTTTGGGGAGGAGATGCTTGCAGAGATTTGGAGGCCTGTGGGAGAGCCTCCAAATGTAATCACCACCTTTACTCTCTTTTCCAGATAAACTCAGAACTGCAAGTTCCTCCCACTCAGGTGCTCCGGGTACCCATGAAATAGATCTGGACTTCAAAAGGCTACTGTATTAGGGCAGTGGTGGTTGAAGCTGGCATCTATCACCTGGGGAGTGATAGATTCTATCTATTCCTGGGCCCGCTCCCTGGATCTTCCAGAGCTGCTGTCTCAGGGCCTGTCAAAGTAAGGCACTAAGAGGAATTACCTGTGTCCTACAGTTATTAAAGTCTTTAAAAAGTTGTGGCTCAATCTCTTTAAAGAGGTCAGGTCCAGTGAGACATGGCCCTTGCCCCAACCTTTGTGTCACAAGGGGACTTTGTCCCCAGCCTCAGGCTGTGGTGTGAGAACAGGCACAGGACTGCGAGACAAGGCCCCAGCCCGTGGTGTGCGCCCCCTTCCTTTGCAAGTCAGTTGCTGTCTGTGGGTGGAGGCCCACGCTTTGGGGGCCCTTGTGGGATTTTAAGCCTTCAGACTGTCCTTGGGCCTGCAGAGCCCTTTTGTGAGGCCCCAGGGCTGTGGTGTGAGGCTGGTCCGGTGAGCAAGGGTCCTGTGCCTTAGGCCTGTTGTGAACTGTGGGCCATGAATCCACCCCAAGGGAACAGGCCTCAGGGCCCAGCTGGTACTGCATTGGCCACCTCAGGGTGCCTGCCAACCCTGTACCCCATACTCGTGCTCCCACTTGACCAACTGTAGATTTGTCAGCTCAGTGTTTAGTTTCTTTTATTAAGGGAAAAACCACCACTCAAGAAAGGAAAACAGCCAAGAGAAACCCAGCTCCCGCCGGCAGGGGGCAGCTCTTAAACTCCGGGCTGGGCTGCAAGGGGAGAGCTCTGAAGGGCTGGCTCAGCGGGCGGAGGGCTGGGGCTGCCAGGGCGGTGGGGGGAACACAGGATTCATTCTCGCTGCCCCTCCTCGAGGCTGTGGAGCACTAGCCCGGCCAGCAGGGCAGGGCGGAACGTGTGCACCCGCCGCTGTGGCTCCAGGCAGGAGGAGGAGCGTGTGGAGTGGTGGGGCGGGGAAGCAGCCACCCCTGGGGGCCGGTAGAAAGGCCTGACCCACTTCTGCTGAGCAAAGCCTGGTGGCGCCGCCCTCACAAGATTATCTGGGGGAGGGGAGGGTGATCGTTTTGCTGGTTCATTCTGTTTAAAGCCCTAGACACTGGCCGCTGCCATGATTCCTGGCTAATTTCATTAACGCTTAGTCCTTGGAAGGCCTGGGGAGGTTTTGGGGTGGCTTCCTCTGGAGCCGGGGCCTGAAGAAGGGTGGTGCCTCAGCAAGGTGGGGCAGACACCCCTTACCACACTCCCCACCCCACAGGCAGGGACCAGAGGGACGGGCCTGGGCAAGCAACAGCCTCGGGGTGGTGAGGACAGGAGGTGGGGAGTCACCAGCCCTGCATGCAGGAGGCAGGCTCCTGGGACTTGAGGCCCCAGGTGTGGACACCAGGCCCCTCAGGCTCCAGGCAGACCCACAAGTCCACGCCAGAGGAGGGGCAGATGCAGCCCAGGAGAGGAGCTGTGGGTGGGCCATGGGGCCTTCATGCCCCCAGGAGTTTCTTGACCATGTAGCCAGGGAGGCTGTAGAGGAAGAGGGCCAGCATGAGCAGCCCCAGCAGCGCCAGCACGATCTTGACGATGAGCCACTTGTACCGCGTGCAGATGAGGTACTTGATGGACTTGAGGGGGTTGAGGAACCAGACGAAGGCGGTGTCGGGCCGGCTGGGGGAGGGGGGCCAGGGTTAGGCCGTGAGCGTCTCCCAGGGTGCTGCATCCCCTCGGCCCCTCTAGGCCCCAAGAGGCCTCATCATGGCCCTCATGAGGGAAAGTAGCAGGAGCTGGAGCCAGGGCTCCAGGCTGTTTCCAAGCACCAGGTTGCTGCTTGCCTTCTCTGTCCTCTTTGCGGGCTCCTCTACCACCCACTCCCCTCGCAAGGCCTAAACGGCACTTCTGGCAGTTGGGCGGCCATCCAGCCTCACCTGAACATGGGCAGCCCTGGCAGCTCGCGACTGGGGAGGCAGCCACTGCACTGCAGGCAGTTCTGAATTTTAGGAAGCTCTGCTACTTAGCAGTTCACTGTATTGTTCCAACATTGCCCAGTGGTTTCACTTGTGACCTCGGCGTGTCTCAGCGTGCCCCGCTTTATGATGGACGTAAGCTTCTGTCCCTACCACTGACTGAGGTCTGAGAAACCCCAGTGGGGCGCAGGCCACCCTCACCGACTTGCTGCCATCAGGGGCGGTCACTGCTTCTGCAGAGTCTCCTTGCCCAGAAGCTCTCGTTGAGCTTTACTTTCCATTTTTTTGTGTTACAAAAAAACAACACGTTTCATAAAATGGCAAGATAGAAAACTAGAATATTGAAAATACTTTTTCAAATTCCTGTCCTACCGACTCCCAGGAGGACACAGACCCCGCCCTCCAGAGCCACATTTCAGGCAAGAGGGCTGCAGAGTGGGAGTGTGGGCATAGGACACCTGGGGGTTCAATCCCAGCTGTGACAGGCAAGTGAGGTGCCGCTTTGAGCCTCAGTTTCCTCACTTATGCAATGGGGTTCATAGTCGGCCCTACCTCAGGGGTTGGGGAAGGGTGAAGTGAGGCAGTAGAGGGGGATGCTGTCAGCACAGTGGGTGGCACCCAGCAGCCGCTCAGCCATCAATGGCTACTGAGATGTTGGAATTGAATAGAGATACTGCCCTGCGAAATGGCCCTGGGTTAGGAGGTAGAGGCTGGCAGACATGATTCAGGACTCGCTGGCCAGTCTTAGCCAAGCCCTTCCCTTCCCTGTCCGTATCTCAACTACTTCCTGCCAGTGGAACTGGGTTAGAATCTGCCAGGCATGTTGCTGGGAGAGGAGGAGGTGTGGCGCAAAGAATACCTGATGGGCAACTTGGAAACCTAGGCTGAGTCCTAGCTCAGCCTTAATATGCTAAGTGAACTTACTACTTACTCCACCTCTCTGGCCTCATATGGAATCATGTAAAACAGTCATTTCCGGTTCTGAGAATGTGTGATACTGTTTGAAAGCTTGACACATTTTGTGTGTGTGGGTGTGTTCCACATGCTGCCAAGCCCATGAGCTCAGGTCCAGGGGAAGAAGGCAGGACTACCAGGCTCAGGAGGATGCCAGGCTCAGGCCCCGAAGGTCATCTTGACCAGGTAGCCAGGCACAGAGTAGAGGAAGCGGGTGAAGAGGAGGAGCAGCAGCAGGCTGAGGAGCAGCCAGCGCTAGGTGTGCCACAGGAAGTAGTGGGCAGACTTGAGAGGGTTCAAGAACCAGATGAAGCTCGTGTCAGGCCGGCTGGAGCAGCCAGAGGAGCAGGGGGAGTGCAGAGAAAGGATGCAGCAGATGAAGGCTCAGGGTGTGGGGAAGGGCCCTGGCCAAGAGTGGGGCTGACCCAGGGCTGAGTGTATGTGACGCGCAGCACCTCCACAGCCATCGGGCTGCCTGGGCCCCTCACTCCTTGTTGCAGCAGTTTGCCTTTGGCAAAAACTAGGACGGGCATTTAACTCTGCAAAAGGGTTCTTCCCGGGAGAGGTGCTGCTTGCCTGTACTGGCGGTGCATGCTCTGGTTCAGAGAGAGGCCATGGGTTCTAGAGGCAAGAGGAGGAAGGAGAAGGCTCCCCTGCAATGAGGCTACGGCCCAGGAAGGGACAGAGAGGGCGGAGGTGCCTGCAGAGTGGCGGCAAGAAGGCCAGAAGGTTCTGGCCACTCCTTCCTGTCCCAGTGCCCCAGGGACCAGCATGGCAGGTGGCCAAACAGGCAGGGCACTCACTTGGGTTTCTCTAGGGGGTCAGGTTCATTGCGAGCCAGGCCCACTGGATTCTTCTCTGCCTCCTCGGCTGTCAGTAGGTGCAGCTCCGCCTCCACTTTGCCCTGAGGGTGAACAAAGTGATCCCAGTGCTCGGCCATGTGCTGGGCCCTCAGCACCCCAGCCTGGCCCAGCCCTGCCCTCTGGCTGAGCAGTGGTGGTGCCCACCGTGAGTTCATACTCGTCGTTCTCATTGCGGGCCAGGAGGGGCCACCAGCCTTTGACGCGCTTCTGCTTGAAGATAGAAACCAGGGGCACATCCACCTCGCCTGTGGCCATCTCCATGGCGCACTGCTTGGCTGTCTTTGCGCCCCGGGGGAACCGGTTCAGGTCCAGCTCGATGGCCCCTAGGGCAACCTTGGAGTCAGCTCTGACAGGCCAGGTCACACTGAGCCTGCCCCACCTCAGTCAGGTCCCAGTCCTTCAGCCCACCCAGCCCCGCACCTAGGAAATCGTCGGCGGAGAAGTGGTCCGCATCCCAGATCTGCAGGGTGAGCCGCGCAGGGATCTTGTATTCAGTCTCATCCCAGGAGAACATGGACTCCTTCTTAGAGATAACGATCTTTTCCTCAGCAGCCAGGTAGTCGAAGGGGAACAGGTAGCGCCAGTTGAAGTTGCCCTCCCCAGTGAGGGAGTGGTAGTGGACATCGGTGTCCTGCTTGTCCTCCTGCTGGCCCTTCAGCCACCTGCGGGGTGGTGCCCTGGCTGCAGACCTGCGGCCACCCCGGGTGGGGCCTCTCCCCTCTCACAGCTCCCCTGGTCCTCCCCCTCCTCTCCTGCCTCCAAGAAGGTGGCTCACCCAGCTCAGCCTCTCCCCACGAGGGACCTCTCACCCACCCCCGCACAAAAATGTCACTGGACTTCTCCCCAGTGAAGAAGTCATCGTCCTCCAGGACCACCTCATCCGTGTTCCACACGATGACCCGCAGTTCATACCTGGGCAGAGAGAGAGGCTGATTAGCAGCCTGGGGGGTGGGGGGTGGGGGCCACCCCAGGATGGGGGTGGGAGCCACCCCAGGATCTTGGGTCTAGGATGGGGCAGGGGGCTGAAGAGGGGATCGAGATAGAAGTCCTGGGGACATGGGGTGAGCATGAGGTGGGGGCCAGATTGGGGCGAGGGAGTCGATTAGGGGCGAAGCTGAGGGACTAGGGTGTGTGAGAACTCAGCCAGCCGGCATGGGAGCAAGCCCCGAGGAAAGCCAGTCTGGCTATAGTGCCAGGACCCAGGGCATACTCCTGGACAGGGAGGCTGGCCCAGGGCAGGGCGGGGCAGGGGCCAGCTGCTGGGCCAGCTGAAGCGAGGCCTGAGAGTCAGGAGCAAGCACCCCATCTCCAGAGGCCAGAAGCTCCACTCCAGTTCTAACAGAAATTTGCATGTAAGCCTGGCAGCTGGCAGTGGTTACCCATAGAATTTAGTTTCCTTTCTGTCCTTG